TGTCTCTGCTCGGCCGCCTGTCCCCACGGACCTGTCCATCCCCTCACACCTGCCTGTTCCCGCCTGTCCCCACCTGCCTGTCTGTCCCTGCTTATCCGCCTGTCACCCGCACCTGTCCGTCCCTGTATCTGTCCCTGCTCGTCCGCCTATTCCCACATACCTGTCCGTCCCCATGCGCACACCTGTCCAACTCCAGGTGCCCATCTGGCTGTCCCCCTGCACCCATGTATCCGTTCCCAGGCATCCTCTCTGTCCATCCGTCCACACAGCCCCATCTGTCCCCACGCCCCCCCTTCGCTCTCTCTGTCCAGCGCCCTCCCCCGCCCCCCGCTGCTCCCCCACACTCATCTCTCTCCCCTGCCCCACATAGCCGGTCTCGCAGCGGCTCCGGGCAGCCGCATTCAATAACCGTTTCCCGAGGCGGCATGTCCCGACATCCACCAGGGCTGAATCTGGCAAACCCGCCCGGCCGGCGCTGCCGTCGGCTCTGAATCGATCCTGGAGCAGCCAGGAAAGGCCAGTGTGTGGGCAGCAGCCGCCGGCCCCATCGTGGCAAACCGGGCGCGGGACTCACTGAACAAAGCAGGCACAGGGCGGAGGCCGGGACTCCGGGCCTGCTCCCGCCTGGTCGCACGACAAGGGGGGGGTGTCGGTATAATGTCCCGGCAGGCGAGGCCGAGAGGAACCAGGGCTGCCGGCCCAGCCCGTGGCACAGAGGGGGCTGGGTCCCGGGCCGCCGAGCAGCATCTGGGGGTTGGCACAGCCAAGCCATGGGGCTTTGCCCCGTCTGCAGCAGGGGCGAGCAGCCGACCGGGCCCTGGGGAAACGGGGCAGGCGCCAGATACGAGCCCCGCGACGGTGAGGGGACGGGGGTACAGGTGTGAGGGCCTTACTGGAGAGGCAACCCCAGGTGTGAACGGCAGGACACCTGGGTGAAAGCAGGGGGCACTGGGAGCAGGGCCGGCTCCAGGGTTTTGGCCGCCCCAAGCAGCCAAAAAAAAAAAAAAAAAAAAGCCGGCAGCAATTCAGCGGGAGGTCCTTTGCTCCCAGCGGGAGTGAGGGACCGGCCGCCTCCAGCCCCTGCTTGCCAGGCTGGTGCCTGGAGCCGGCCCTGATTGGGAGCCAGGACTCCTGGGTTCTCTCCCCGGCTCTGGGAGGTGAGTGGGGGCTTGTGGGTTAGAGCAGGGGGGGCTGGGAGCCAGGACGCCTGGGTTCTCTCCTCAGCTGGAAGGGACCCACGTGGTGCTCTAGTCCCACCCCCCCTCGCCCCGAGCCCTGCCCCACACCCGGGGACGGGGCCAGCGCCAGACACGGCAGGCAGCAGTTAGCAGCAGGTGCGCTGTGGGGAGACGGGAGCGGTGCAGTCGAAGTTGGGGGGCAGCGAGGTGCTGGTTGTGGGCACGGGCCAGGTGGGGCTGGGGGTTGGCGAAAGGAAGGAGCCCCCGCCGTGTGCTGGATTGAGGGGGCCTAGTTCCCTTGGGGAATGGGGCCTCTGCCAGGAACCATGAGCTGCTAGCGGAGCGGGGAGAAACACCCGGCCCCCCGGCTCTGCTCCTGGCTGGAAAGAAAGAGCCAGGTGGGGAAACTGAGGCAAGGTTTGTTCGAGCCCAGCCTAGCGGAACCGTGACCCCGGGGGACAAGTGACCTCCAGCCCCGCCCCACAGAGAACACGGACGTCACGGCCTGAGCTCCGCACCTGGTTTATTGCTTTGGTGCACAGCTGGGGGGCGCCGGAGCCAGGCCCAAGCCTGGACCCTACAACCAGCCCCACGCCCCCTTGGTAAAGCAGCAGGAGACGCCCGCAGGCAGGTCCCGGGTTCAAGCCCAGCAAGGCGGCCCTCTCCGCCAATCGGGAGCAGGTTTGGCAAAGTGGGAGAGGCCTCCTGCGGGCCACGCTTAGTTTGCGCCCAATCAGAATCTGGTTTGTAAGAGTGGGCGGGGCCTCCCACTGGTCCTGCACCCCGTTGGTTGGCTCTGTAATGACATCATGGCCTGGCGTAGCTTTCATACATGACATCAAGGCCTGCGAGCAGCCAAGCCCATTGGCGGACGTCACTTCCTGCTGGAGTCCCGTAGCATGACCCCGAGCGGCTGGGTTGGGTCCAGTGACATCACAGCCTGCTGTAGAATGACATCACTTCCTGCTGGACCCCGGGCGAACGGGTTGGGCCTCGTGACATCACTTCCAGACCCAATCCAGACCAATCACGGCCGCACTGGCCCCTTCCACGGGACGTCCTGTCCCTCCGGCATCCTTGTGTCCACCCCGCACCGTCATCTCCTGGGGGGGGCAGCCCCATCCTCCCTTGAACACAGAGCCGGAAAATCCAGAGGGCAGCCGCAGGACTCCTGGGTTCTTTCCCCCTCACTCCAGCTGGGGTTGGCCGCAGGACTCCTGGGTTCCTCCTCAGTCCACCTTCACCACCTCCTCCAGCTCGCGGTACTGGAGGAGGAAGTAGGGGTAGCACTGGTCGTTGTCGAAGACCACGTAGATCTGGGGGTCGCTCAGGCTGTCCACGCACGAGTCGTACAGGTCGTTGGCTGGGTCGCCAGGGTCCAGGGGTGGGGGCCGGCGCAGGGCCGGCTGCCCCAGGGCCGAGCGCCCCACCAGCACCTTGCAGAGGAAGACATGGCGCAGGCCGGCCTCGGCGGGGGGCGCGTAGCGGTGGGAGTAGCTGGCCCGGCGGGCGAAGTAGCTGCCCTGCCCGTAGATGGCAGCGTGTTTCCCTGACAGCCGGGGGTCCAGGTTGTGTTTGCAGATGGCCGGCACCGCGCCCGCCGCCGTCCCGTGGAAGAGGTGACGCTCGTTCCGCAGCTGCTGCTCCGGGGACATCTGCCGGCTCATGTGGCTCTGCTTCCTGCAGGGGAAGACACCGGACTCCTGGGTTCTCGCCCCGGCTCTGGGAGGGGAGTGGGGGCTGGTGGTTGGAGCGGGGGGGCTGGGAGCCAGGACTCCTGGGTTCTCACCCCGGCTCTGGGAGGGGAGTGGGGGCTGGTGGTTAGAGCTGGGCACCCTTCCATTTGTCCCTGTCGCACAGGAAGAGGTTCTACGCCCAGGAGATGCCCAGGGGGGAGAGGTTAGGGGATGCTGGTTGCAGGAACTAGAGCTGGGGGGTGTGGGGGGCGCAGGGCTGGGAGGGGCACTCACCGCTTGTCCCGGTCCCAGGGTGAGGGGCTGGGGGGTGCTGGGCACAGGGGATAGTGCTGGGGGGTGCTGGATGCAGGAGTTAGAGCTGGGGGGTGCGGGGCACACAGGGGGCACAAGAGTTAGAGCTGGAGGGTGCAGGGGGCGGGGGGGGGGGGCCCCCCGCTGGTCCTTGTGCCCGCGGGGGGGGGGGGCGCCCCCCGCCCCCGCCGCCGGGGGCGGGGCCGGGCCGGGGGCGGGGGGCGCCCGGGTCGGGGGGGAGGGCGGCGCCGGGGGGGGGCCCGGGGCCGGCGGGGGGCCCAGGTACAGGCTGCCGGACAGCGTCCTGCGGGGGCAAGGCAGGCGGTCAGGGGGCCGGGAGCAGGGCTCGCGCGGGGGGGGTGTCGCGGCGGGACGGGGAGGGGGTTACCGTAGCTCCGGCAGCAGCAGGGCGGGGGCGCGGAAGACGGGCCGGGCCCGCAGGGGGCGCAGGGTGCCCGTGGCCAGGTTGCGCTGGTAGCCGGCCCGCAGGTTAAGCTGGTAGCTGTGCTCGGCCGTGCTGCACAGTGCCTCCTGCTGCCCGCTCCGCAGCGCCGCCTCGATGCTCTCGGTGAAGGGCTGGGGGCAGAGAGAGGAGGGGTCAGCGCCGGCAAGAGAACCCAGGAGTCCTGGCTCCCAGCCCCCCCGCTCTGACCCATCTGCCCCCACTCCCCTCCCAGAGCTGGGGAGAGAACCCAGGAGTCCGGGCTCCCTGCCCCCGCTGCGGGGAGGGAACCCCGGCGTCCGGCGCACCTGGCTGTAGGGTTCCCAGCCGCCGAGTGCTCGCCAGTAGTAGACGTGGCTGGTGCCAAAGGGGGAGCCGGGCATGGACGAGGTGCCGAGGCGCCGGACCCGGCTGAAGCTGGGGCTGTTCCACACCTGCATGGCCACCAGGTCGATGTCGAAGGCGACGCCCCTGCCGGGCCAAGGGGAGATGGGGGTCACTAGGGGTCACCGGGGGCGAGACACTGCCGGGGCGGGGACCGACCTGCCCATCACCCCCGACTACCCCCCAATACCCGCCCACTGCCCCCTAAACCCCCCCCCCCACCGCCCCCCCCGCCCCCCTCCCCCCCTGCCCCACTGCCCCCCCATTCACCCCGCCACCCCCAACCCCCAGACCCTGCCCCACTGCCCCCATTCCCCCCACACCACCAGCCCCGCCACCCTCAAACCCTGCCCCTCATTTCCCCCAACTGCCACCCCCACACCCCAGACCCTGCCCCACTGCCCCCATTCCCCCACCTCCAGCCCCCATCCCAAACACTGCCCCTCTTCCCCCCCACACCCCCAAACCCTGCCCCACTGCCCCCCATTACCCCCACACTGCCAGCCTCCCCACCCCCCAAAATCTGCCCCACTGCTCCCCATTCCTCCCACTGCCTGCCTCCCACACCCCCACACCCTGCCCCACTGCCCCCTATTGCCCCCAAACCACCAGCTCCCCTATGCCCCAAAACACTGCCCCCCACACCCAGAGCCGGGGCGAGAACCCAGGTGTCCTGGCTCCCAGCCGCGCACTCACTGGTAGGAGGCCCGCACAAGGGTGCGCTCGGGGTCGCTGTAGAGCCGCTCCAGCGTCTCATGGGCCTCAGGCCCAACGCTCAGCCAGCCGGGCGGGAGGCTGGCCGTCTGCCACAGCTGCCAGTGGTAGGGCAGCAGGGTGTGGTGCTGGGGGCAGCAGGCCCCGGAGAAGCAGCAGCCCAGGAGGAAGAGGGGGCAGATCTCCACCCCATCCTCGGGGTGGGTGTGGTACTCCAGCTGGGCCACGATCTCCAGCAGATTGTCCAAGGTCAGCTCCTCGCACCCAGGCCCGGCCTCGGGGGCCGGCTCCGGAGCCGCCTCCGCCTCCCGCAGTGCCAGCTCCACTCGCTCCCCGTAGGGGTCGCCGGTGGGGGGCACCGGGGCCGGGGAGGGCAGGCTGGGGGCTGCGGTGGCCCCGCCTGGCTCCGGGGGACAGTGGCGGAGCAGCTGCGCCTGGGCCTTGATCCGCAGCGCAACGGGGAGGCGGAACGCCAAACGGCGGGAGCGTTTGAGGCGAGCGAGCCGGGCGCACGGCGGGGCCGTGGGGGCATCACTGCCGGCCGCCATGGGGCGCCTCGACGCAGCCCGATCCTCCAGGGGAGAGCTGGAAAACAGGGAGACAGAGAATGACTAGCGGTTAGTGCTGGGGGACAGAACCCAGGAGTCCTGGCTCCCACCCATCCCCTGCTTTAACCACTAGTCCCCACTCCTCTCCCAGAGCTGGGGAGAGAACCCAGGAGTCCTGGCTCCTAGCTACGATTCAGTCGATGCCGGTCACTGGCAGAGCCAGGATGCCGAACAAGATGGGCCTGATCCGGTGTGACGACTCCCCCACTCCCCACCCCAGCTCCAGGGCTAACGAGGGTCTGTTTGAAAGGGTGGGATTTGGGACTGATGTCTAGAGCTGGGGTAAATCCCGTGTTTTAGGAAGAGATCAGAGACAAAGAAACCTCCCCCATCCTGGAAGAAAAAGGCCCATCCGGAGACACCAAAATCGGTTGTGAATTTGTGGTAGTTTCACCCCATATTTCGTCTCGGTGTGTCGGGGGGGGGAAGGGGACTGTTCTGACATTTTTCTCACAAAACCGTCCCGGCTTGAAGCCACTTTGGGTTTCCAAACTTTGATTTAAAAGGGGGGACTTTTTCCCCCCCAAAACACGTTTCCGGTTACAATGGAAAGTTTCTTTCAACGCCTCGAATCACAGACGCTTTGCCGCTTCTGGTCCAGCCTGAAATTTGAGGTCGGCGTCTCGAAAAGGCCGGTGCGGCGGAAATCCAAAAAAACCCTGAGCCGATCCTTTTTCCGGTGTCCTGTGTGTCTGATCCCCGGTGATCCAGTCACCTGCCGGCTTCTCCTCACTCAGCTGAAGAGGGCTGATAAGTTTTGCCGCGTTCTTTTTAATCCTCGATGCTCTTCCCACATATTTTGCCGACTTGCTCAACACTTAAAGTGTGGCCATGTTGGTCAAGGGTATGAAAAAAGTGCCACTTCAGCAGCACGGCTATGCTGACCAAAACCCCAGCGTAGACGCGGCTAAGCCAACAGAAGAGAAACGGCATTTGTACGTCGGCCTTGGCTGGGCCATCTCTACCGGTGTAGGCTGCGTGGTATGGGCATAAGCCTCCGACTTCTCTCCATGATTTCTCTGATAATTTTTGTGCCTCTGCTGAATTTTCTCCATCGTTTCTGCTTCCTTGGTGAAGTGCCGACACCGGAACTAGAGCGGGGGGTTTTGCAGATCACAGGCAGTTAAAAAAAATGTTTTTTTGAAAGCGTTTGGAGTTAAAGAAACAAACTTTTGGGGAGGAGTTTTTGGTGAACTGGAGAGTAAATTGGCATGAGTAAAAATTGTTTCAATTTTGAGGGTTTTATTAAAAAAAAAGTTTTGGCAAATGTGAAAAAAATTAAATGCCTGGAAAAGCCCAACCTAGAGCAGTTTCAAATAGATCTTCATTTTGTGTTTAATGTTTGGGCAATTTTTCAACCGCCTACCATGCAGACCAAAAGTCAGTCGGAATAAATTTCAACGCAACAAAAATGTTTGGCCATTGTTAAACAAAAAACACAAGGTCATTGCGAACCAAACGCCGGATTTCAATAGTTTTTAACAGGTTTTGGCGATTTTTAAACACATCCCGTGGAAGGAAATTCGAAGCGTCCTTTTCATCCTTTCTGACCCCAAAAGAAATATCAAGCCAGTTTTGGCTTTTTTAGAAGCTTTTTGCCCCCAGTGGGACAGTTCGGCAAAACCACCGAGAACCGGCGAGACGCGTCGCTGTGTTTTTTGCTGCGGTGGGGAGCTGGGAGTTTAAGTTTCGCACCAGAACTGAGACACAGTTTCCTCATCGCACCAGGGCCAAATCCAGAGGTAAAAAAATCACCTCTCTGTTCCTCCTCCGAACGTATCGTTTTCCTTCATTGAGGACCAAGCCCAGGCAGTTTGTTCCCCCTGTCCTCCCCAGAATCAGCAACCCTGAGGGCCACAGGATGGGGGTCACCGATCCATCGCATTTTGCAGCCCCCCATGTGGGGGGAGGAGCTGGGATATGAGCTACGGGCCCCAGATCAGTCCCAAGAGAACAGGCCCCATCCCCCAGCACCCCCAAGCACCAGGGAGCTGAAAGTGTCACAGCAAATGGGTCTTGTGATTCAGCACTTCCCAGCTATTGCCAGGCAGGGCTGGAAATGGCTGGAATGGAACCCAGGAGTCCTGGCTCCAAACCCCCCACCCTCTGCTCTAACCACCCCTCCCAGAGCTGGAGAGAGAACCCAGGAGTCCTGGCTCCCAGCCCCTCCCCACTCTAACCACCAGCCCCCACTCCCCTCCCAGAGCCAGGGAGAGAACCCAGGAGTCCTGGCTCCCAGCCCCCGTGCTCTAACCCACCAGACCCTGCTCCTCTCCTCCACCCAGGGCGTTTGTTAGTGTAGGGTCTCGCCCTGGCTCCCGCGGGCCACCTCCAGAGCAGGCCAACGGGCCCAGGACTGACATCAGACACACCCCACCCCCAACAAGAAGATATGGGGGGTACAGATATCACCCCCCAGATCCATTCCACTACTTAGGGAGATGGCTCCATAGTGGGTGTATTTTAGGGGGCTGGGGAAAGCAATATACGACCTGTTTGGGGGCAGGAGGTGGGAGCCAGGACTCCTGGGTTCTCTCCCTGGCTCTGGGAGGGGAGTGGGGTCTAGCAGTTAGAGCAGGGGGGGCTGGGAGCCAGGACTCCTGGTTTCTCTCCCCGGCTCTGGGAGGGGACTGGGAGCCAGGTCTCCTGGGTTCTCTCCCTGGCTCTGGGAGGGGAGGAGAGTTTAGCGGTTAGAGCGGGGCGGGGGAGAGGGCTGGGATCCCGGCCTACTGATTCATAAACAGTCTCGAAACTGTCAAGCCCTCCCCTCTCTCGACAGCTGGGAAATGAATCATGAGGCCTGGTCCCGGGAAAACGCTCAGGCCTGTGCTCACAAGAAGTGGGGGTTGTTTTTTAAAGGGTCAAAACCCAAAACAAATCTTTGTAGCGGAGCGTTGTTCCGAGATTTGAGCCCCACTTCCCTGCTGCAAGTCTCTGCCCTCCCCCATGCCGTGCCTCAGTTTCCCCCCTAATCCCAGCCTGACACCCTCGGAGCTCTGCGGATGAAAAGTGTGGGTCCAGCTTAGGGTTTCGCGACTCAGGGGGGCCGGATCAAATGGGGGAAAGGCAGAGGGGGTAATTCAGTGACACCCCCTCCCCCTTTCAACTGGGTTTGCACAACTGCAGGGAGCGGGAGGGGCAGGGACAGGAGACACCTAATTGAGGCAAGGTCTGGAAATATCACCCCACCCCTCCCCGGGCCACAGCTTGATCAGCAGCCCCAGCCTGGGGGGTGGGCGGAAAGCGGGCGGGGGGGGGGGGGGAAGCAGATCTCGGAAGAAAGCAGCTGGGTTTTTACAGAAAAACACACAGAGGGTAGGGAAGAGGAAATAGTGGTGCAGAGAGATCAGAGTGCATGGGGCGGGGAGAGAACCCAGGAGTGCTAGTTCCCAACCCCCCACCACACCCCCCTCTCCTCCCAGAGCCCGGGAGAGAACCCAGGAGTCCTGGCTCCCAGCTTTCCGGAAACCATCCACTCTCACCTCATTGCATCCGTTCTCAGCCCAGACCCGCCCCAATACCTCAGCTCCCCGCAGCCAAACAGAGCAGGAACACCCTCCCACCCAAAAAAAAGCCATCAACACCCTTTGGGGGCTGCACCCCCCACTCACCCCCTCTGCAGCCAGCTCCGCCTTCACAGCAGCCGGGTCTCCGCACCCCACCTGTCTCCGATCAGCGTCCAACTGCAAGGGGGGGGGGGGCGCCTGTTGCTTGTAGTTTTTCCCCCCTTTCTCCTCTTTTTTTTTTTTTGGGGGGGGGGGCGCTGCCCAGGCTGCCTGGCCCTGAGCTAATGGGGGCTCAGGCGCTGGGAGAAGCCAGACACAACCACGATCCAAAAAAAACAAAAACAAAAAGCGACCCAAACAATAACAAAAAGTTATTATAAGTTTCACTTCTCTCCCTCCCCGCCCCGCCCGGGCTCGCAGCTCTGAGCAATGGTCCAGTCCCCACCACAGCCAACTTCTCGCAACTTGCTGAAAAGTGCCTTCAGTTCCCCCCTTTCACCCCCGGCACTTCCTGGTCTCCTCCCCCGGCTGGCCAGCACTTGACCTGAGTCATGGTGAGAAGAAACCTCGCTGGCTCCTCCCAAGCAGCAGACTTCGGGTCTGGGCAGCCAGCCAGGCTTTCGCTTTCCTTTTCTCAGCACATGGGGAGGAGAAGGCAGAAGAGGCCTGAGTGGGTTTAAATTAAAAAGAAATTGAGACAGTGACTGATTTGGAGGTGTGTGAGAGAGTGTGTCAATTTCCCCGCCAAAGAAAGAGGTGGATTTAGTTTTGATTTAGTGAGAGGATCAATTTTGGGTCAAATTCACTATGTGCCAATTTAGATCTACTTACAATAATTCCGCAGATCACAGATTCCTGGAGTTGATTTCACTAGAAAGAAAAGTGCCAATTTAGATCTACTTAAAATAATTCAGCGGATCATGGCTTCTCTGAGTCCATTTCATTAGAATGAAATGTGCACATTTAAGTTGAATTTAAAAACAATTGAGACAAATCACTGCTATTTGGGGTCAACATCACTCAAATTTAGATGAACAGTAATTGAGATGAAACCTGAGTCTTTGGGTCAATTTCACTGGAAGGAAATGAGCGTGTTTAGTTTTAATTTCACTGATTTTTGGGACGGGGGAGTCAATTTCACTTCAAATTGAGTTTTACTGAAAAAAGTATTATTTGGTAATTTTTTTGCAGTTTTGATTGGGGGGGGAAATCTATCTTTACGGTGAAATAATTTAAAAAATGTAAGTTGATCACAACGCCTTTGTTGGGGTACCACAGAGTGATTTGGGTAAAAAAAGTTGACTGTAACTGAATCCCAGCAGCAGGACTGGGAATAGGACCCAGGAGTCCGGGCCCAGTCCAGCTGCTGGGTCAGGCTTCACAGGAAACAGCTCCAAAATATTTTCTCCCCAGCTCTGATAATATTTCAAGCGCAATTCCCCCCAGTGATACAGATTACAAGAAAGATGAATGCAAGTGGAGTGGGTTTTGAATGATCCATATGCTTAAACTATTTATACTGATATTTCCACATGCCTAGCAGTCCCCATCATGCCCCCCTGCCTGCTCTAGGGGCTGTACAAACAGAACAAAACTTACGACCTATGTGAAATTAATCTCAGACCAAGATAAGTCACTTTCCACTTCGTCGGTGCCGATTTTGCCACCATGGTTATATCACTTTAGATTTCACAGTAACACCACCTCACTCTCATCAGCAGGTCTCCAGGTGCTTTTCCATATTCTCTGTAGCAGATGGGGAAACTGAGGCAGAGATCAGTGGAGCGGCTTTACCCAAGGTCATCCAGTGGCCAAGCCAGGAATAGAACCCAGGTCGGTCCTGACTCACCTCTACAGGGCTCCTTAGTATGTAACATGTCAAAATCCCAGTGGCTTCAAATACTCTGCTGTCTGATCTTCCTGTCTGGTGTCCTGCTGTGGCCATCCTCTGAGGCTGCAGAGGAAGGGTTAAAAAAAAAAATCCCAGATATATCTGACCAATTGTGCATTGGGGAAACATTCCTTCCTGACCACTGCTGGTGGCCAGCTGAAGGCCTGAAGCATGAAATTGGATTGGAGTTATTCTCTTAATGCACCAGTTTAACCATATACAAATGGAGGGCACAACCCAGCTGCCTAAAGTCAAGCACCTGTGTGAAGATTAGGGGCCTTTTCTGGAGGCCCAACAGAAACAAGTTTTTCTTTAGAAACTGAAACAAATCAATTTGCTTGTTCTGAAAAAAATGTCTAAACAAAATATTTGGGCAATTCTTCCTCAACATTTTTTTGAAGCGGGAAATTCATCGAACCCGACCCCATTGTGTGAACAGTTTGGGAATAGCGAAATCACTATTTTTTGACCAAAAAAACCCCCTGATGCAGTGAACAATTCCTAAGCGTCTCTATCTACCCCTCATAGACTGCAACCTTGTTCCCAAACTGTCGAAGGATAAGTGTTGAAGGACGAGTGACAGATCTCCGCAATGTTCTTCAGAATCTCAGCTTGCATGTTAAAAAAAAGCAAGTCTCCAGACGTTATAGTTACTGTGATGAAATGAGGTTTTATTCACCTTGTTATGTTGCATGTGAGTCTTACTGTCCTGTATTAATACTGTCCCTGTGTATTGCACCAATGCCTAGGTGGTGGGAATTGGGTGTGTGATTTTTGCTGAGGCCCTCGGGGGGCACGTGAGGCTGCCCAGATGTCTGCACGTATGTAACCTGAGACCCAGGAGGGGGATGCGACCAGGTAACACCTTTTGCCCAGGAAGCAGGGCAAAGACCAGGAGGAGGAGCAAAGGGTGTTGGGAGTCGGGTCGCTGGAAGTAGGTAGTCTGCAGCGCGAGACTGGAAGACGGGGAGGCCAGGCCAGTCTGCGGTGTGGGACTGGAAGAGTTGTCGTCCAGGGAAGTCTGCGGCTTGGGACCGGCAGAGGGGGAGCCCGGGGCAGTCTGCGGTGTGGGACCGGAGGAGGGGGAGTCTAGGGCGTCTGGGCCAGGACTCCCCAAGATGGACTTGGCTGAAAGTCACTGATTTCTGTGCTAACAAATTCTGTTCTCCGCTGTGTTCCTGACGACTAATAAACCTTCTGTTTTACGCTGGCTGAGAGTCACGTCTGACTGTGGAGTTGGGGTGCAGGGCCCCTTGGCTTCCCCAGGAGCCCCACCGAGGTGGACTCGCTGCAGGAAGCACACGGTGTGGAAGGGGAGGCTGAATGCTCCAAAGTCAGCCCCAGGAAGGTGGAAGCTGTGTAAGCTTCTTGTCCTGGTGACAATATGCTCAGAGAGAGGAGGCTCCCCCAGAGTCCTGACTGGCTTTGTATGGAGCAGTTCCAGAGCATCGCCCGGGACTATGTGACAGTTACAGAGAAAACCTTCAAATTGTGGCTTGAGCATCAGCAATGCTGCCTGAGTCTGCTCAGAGCCTGAGCCCAATGCTAAGAGAGTGGGGAGCTGCCTCAAATGTAACCAGTGTAGAGACGTCAGCCACAGGCGTGTACAGGCTGTGATGCTGTATGAAATCTGGGGGACACTTGAGGATATTATGAATATTAATATTGTAAATTTGCAATGAGTCGTGCCAGATATGCCATGTAAGGTATCTGCAAAACTGTTATGATTTGCCAGCTATGATAATCTCATTTATGGCTTGTATCACCTCTGTATTATGAGTTATAGATATGTATGTATGTCTGTATTTCAAAACTTGTGCTATGCTTCTGGGTGACACCCCCAGACAGTTTGGGTGTCAGCACTGTCTAGCCTGCTTGATGGCCCATTAAGGACCATCAGCTATACAATCGACTCATTGAGAGAAGGCAAGGAATACTCTGACTCGGCAAGGCATGCAGGAGTGCTCATGGCTTCCAAGCCATGCGCTGAGCACCTTGTGTTGGAAACAAAGGAAGCGCAGGCCGTGTGGCAAGAGACTATAAAAGGCAGCTGCATCTTCTCCATTTTGTCTTCAGTCCTGCTTCTTACCTCTGGAGGAACCTTTCTACAAATTGAAGCTCCGAACACAGGACTAAATCACAGAATCATAGAGGATTAGGGTTGGAAGGGACCTCAGGAGGTATCTAGTCCAGTCCCCAGCAGGACCAACACCAACTAATTCATCCCAGCCAGGGCTTTGTCAAGCCGGGCCTTAAAAACCTCTAAGGATGGAGATTCCACCACCTCCCTAGGGAACCCCTTTCAGTGCTTCACCCCCCTCCTAGTGAAATAGTGTTTCCTAATATCCAACCTAGACCTCCCCCACTGCAACTTGAGACCATTGCTCCTTGTTCTGTCATCTGCCACCACTGAGAACAGTCCTCTTTGGAACCCCGCTTCAGGTAGTTGAAAGCTGCTATCAAATGCCCCCTCACTCTTCTCTTCTGCAGACTAAATAATCCAGTTCCCCCAGCCTCGACTCGTAAGTCATGTGCCCCAGCCTCCTAATCATTTTCATTGCCCTCTGATGGACTCTCTCCAATTTGTCCACATCCCTTCTGTAGTGGGGGCTGTGACGTTATTGATATAAGCTGGGATCATATAGATCATTGTTGCAACCAAGGTCCTGTAGTGGCACCCAAATCTTGTACAAAGGGGGTCAAATGGGGTGTCTTAGACAAGGTTATGGTTTACTGGTTATGATTATGCTGTCTATATGTGTGTATCAATTTTGTAGTTGAAGTTATGAATATTGGCTCTATACTGTCTGTATTTCAAACTTATGCTATGCTGCTGGGTGACATCCCAGACAAGCTGGTGTTAGCTCTGCCTAGCCTGCTTGATGGCCCATTAAGGACCATCAGCTATACAATGGACCCATTGAGAGAAGGCAAATATGCCTTGAGACTCAGCAAAGTATGCAGGAACTGGCCCATGTGACTCCAGACTCCATTTTGCTGTAATTTTCCACAGTAAGAACAAAGGTGTTCTTACACCTGGAAAAGACTATATAAGGCTGATGCCTCATCTCCATCTTGTCTTCAATCCGGCTTCTTACCTCTGGAGGAACTTTGCTACAAGCTGAAGCTTTGAACAAAGGACTGAAGACCCATCCCAGCGGGGGATGTATTCCAGAGACTTGATTTGAACCTGCAGTTTATTCTATCGCTGCTGCAAGCCTGAACCAAGAACTTTGCCATTACTGTATGTAATTGATTCCATTTAACCAATTCTAACTCTCATCTCTATCTTTTTCCTTTT